GCTACATCCAATATGTCCGCTCACTACACAGCATATTCCTGTTCACCTGATTGCCGACGACACTTTCATCTCTCCCCTCAAGCGGGTCTCCCAATCGCGAAATCACTGGCGTCCTCGTCCATGAGTCCACCACAACCTTATCCGATCTTCTCTCCCTCATTCTCCAAATCGACAGTCTCCTCTCAACTCACAAGGCCGCCATCCCCTTCGCCCCTTCCCAAACACGTTTCTTCCACAACATTGCTTCCGACGACACCCTCACCACCACGATGTCAGATGAGTTCTCCACACCCGACCCCGACACCGAGTCCACTTCTACTGAGCCCCCATTTCTGTGACACATACCCCACCGGATGACACTCAGGCGTCGCAGTTTACTCCGCCTGCCCACCTCCTGACGACGTCTCTCACCCCGTCGGTCGAGCTCAACACTGGCACGCATTCCTCTACCCTTCTCCCTAATCCCTCTCACATCACCTTCTCCGATGTTGCTGAGGAACAAGCGTGGCACGACCGGCTTGTTAGACTAGGCACCGAACAGCGCCGCCTCAACAACATGATCTCCGCCGCTTGTGGCGGAACCGCCCAATTCCAGCTCAAGTTCATCTCCATCTCCCTCGGCGCATCGACAGTGAAGTTCTGGGGCCTCCTCGATGGCGGGGCTAAAGAAAACTTCATTACTGATGCCTGTGTTCGCAAAGTCGGTGTCCCCTCAACCGGCTACGACTCCCCGATCACCATTCGCTTAGGGGGCAAGGACTAAGTTGTCATCGACAATTGCACAATTCCCGAGGTCACCATGATTGTCGGCTCCCTCCGCAGTCAAATCTCCTTCGACGTCATGCACCTCATGTGTGATGTCGTCCTGGGAACTATTCGTCCGCCTCTCTTCTACTCTGAACTCTACCATTGACATCCCTTACATTCTCCCTCGGCGCATCGGCAGTGAAGTTCTGAGGTCTCCTCGATGGCGGGGCTAAAGAAAACTTCATTACTGATGCCTGTGTCCACAAAGTCGGTGTCCCCTCAACCGGCTACGACTCCCCGATCACCATTCGCTTAGGGGGCAAGGACTAAGCCGTCATCGATGATCGCACAATTCCCGAGGTCACCATAACTGTCGGCTCCCTCCGCAGTCAAATCTCCTTCGACGTCATGCATCTCATGTGTGATGTAACCTGGGAACTATTCGTCCGCCTCTCTTGTACTTCGAACTCTACCATTGACATCCCTTACATTCTCCCCCCTACCACCCCACTCCTAGTCTGCCCCCACCAATTCCTCCACATGTCTCGCCAACACCCTGACTCCACCTACTATTGCTTACTCATCGACCGCTAGCATCCTGAGGACTTGATTCCAATGGACAAACCCGACCAAGCCCCCCCATCTGACCCTTGCATCACCTCTCTCCTCTCAAAATTCAAGGATGTCTTCCCCGAGTCCTTGCCCGCCGGCTTGCCACCCGATCGTGGTGTATCTCACACCATCAACCTCCAACCCGACCATTCTCCTTCTTGCCACCCTCCGTACCAACTCCCTGTTCCCGAGGCGGAAGAGATGAAGCACCAGCTCGATGAACTCCTTGAAAAAGGATTCATTAAGCCTAGCTCATCCCCCTTCGGAACCAGCTGTCTCTTCGTCAAAAAGGGCGGCACCTTGGAGCTCCACATGTGCACAGACTACCGCGCCTTGAACCGGATCACGATCAAGAATAAGTATCCACTCCCCCGGATATCTCAACTCGTTGATCGCCTCCGCGGAGCAGATCCGTATTTTCGAGGAAGATACCCATAAGACCGCCTTCCGCTCTCGCTTCGGGCATTACGAGTCCCTAGTGATGCCTTTCGGCCTCACAAATGCCCCAGCGGCCTTCCAGTCCACCCATGAACCACATCTTCCGCGATCTCATCGAAGTCTATGTCATGATCTACCTCGATGACATCATTGTCTTCAATCCCACCTTCAACACATCGAGAAGGTACTTTTCATCCTCTGCGAGCAAAAGTTCTACGCTAAGCTTAGCAAACGCACTTTTGCCGCCTCGAGTGTGGACTACCTTGGCTACATTGTCTCTGCTGACGGTATCCGCATGGACCCCTTGAAGGTCGCCGCTCTCGTCGAGTTCTCACCTCCCACCACCTTGCTTCAACTTCGGTCATTCATTGGACTCGCTAACTACTACTGCCCCTTCATCCAAAACTTCTCCGACACCGCCTATCCACTCCATGAGCTCACCAAAGCAAACCAATTCCTTCACATGGACCGAACGCCGCCAAGCCACCTTTGACAAACTCAAACACCTCATCACTACTGCCCATGTTCTCAAGATCGCGGACCCTTCTTGCCACTTCTACGTCACCACCGATGCTTCGGACTTTGCCCTTGGCGCCATTCTATCCCAACATTTCCCTCGCGACCCCCCCCACTATCAAAGATTCCCCCACGCGATCCGAAGCACTTCCCGACGAGTACCCTGTCGCATTCACGAGTAAGAAGCTCATCGCTGTTGAGATGATCTATCCCTCCAATGAGAAGGTCTCCACGCCATCATCTACGCCCTTAAAAGTCTGGAGCCCTTACCTCGATGGCCAGTACTTCACCATTCGCACCGACATTGTCGTCTCTAGTATCCTCACCCCTCGTCAGGCCCGCTGGCTGGACTTTCTCGCCCAGTTTACCTTCACCATCTGCCATACCCCCCGCACGACCAATCGTGTTGCCGATGCCCTCTCTCGCCGACCTGATCACAAGCCCCCTAAGAAAGTCTTCGCTGCCATGACACATGTCAACCTCCCCCAATCTCTCCAACATCGCTTCATCCCTGGCTACACCTCCTGCCCCGACTTCGCCCCTACCCACACCAAACTCCGTGACCTTGACACTGTCCCTGACTACTCCCTCATCGACCATCTCCTCTACATCGACACCAAAGGAGATCACCGCCTTTGCATCCCTTCCGTCCGTGGTCTTCATACCCAGTTCTTGGTCGAACACCACGACGCCAAGACTGCCGGACACCTTGGTTTCCAAAAAACCTTTGACAATATCTCCCATTACCTCTACTGGCCCTCGCTCCTTGCCGACTTGCCAAGCTGTCAATCCCTCCAACCAAGCTAAGGCTGACAGACTTCATTCTCTCCCCATACCTACCCACGGTTGGCAATCTGTCTCCATGGACTTCGTTTGTGGTCTCCCCACGACCGACCATGGTCACAATTGCATCTATGTTGTTGTCTGCCGCCTTACCAAGCGCACCCATTTCATCCCTTGCACCACCACTTGCCAAGCCAAGAACGTCGCCAAACTCTTCTTCGACCACGTCACCCATCATCATGGCCTCCCATAAAACATCATCAGCGACGTGACTCCCGATTACTCTCACAGTTTTGGAGAAATCTCTTCAAGGAATACGGGACCACCCTCAAGTACAGCACCGCCTTTCACCCCCAGACTGATGCCCAGACAAAGAAGATAAACGATACTCTCAAGCGCATCCTCCAAAAGTATTGTCATCCCCATTAGCACGACTGGGACCAGCTCCTCTTCGCTGCCGAGATCGCCTACAACAACAATGTCTGCCCCTCCACTGGCATGTCTCCTTTCTACCTCGACCTTGGCTACCATCCTTGCCTGCCCTCTTACTTGAACATTGCTACCCTCAACCTTGTAGAACATCAATAGGACCGCCCTGTTACTTGTAGACCCTCAATAGGATCACCCTGTTACTTGAACATTGCTACTCTCAACCTCGTAGAACCTTCATAGGATTACCCTGTTACTTTAGCATCGATCCCCTCATCCCCTTAGAACATCAATAGTATTGCCCTGTTACTTGCTACTTCAACCTTGTAGCACCTCAACTACCCTGTTACCCAAATATTGATACCTTCACACTTGTAGAACATCAGTAAGATTACTCCCCCTTTCCTTTTCTGACCAGTGATCAGCCCCGTCCCATCCTTCACAGTTGTTCATCACGTCTTTGGCAGCCAGGACGTTGCCTTCCATAGGGAGGGGATAGTGTTACGGACTCGGCCAGGGCTTGATCCCTGGTCCGCGGGTTATCACCTGCCAGGCTGCTATTTCATTTTTGGGTCTCTGTTCTCAAGCCCCTGACTGTTGGGGCCCTCTGCAGTTGGCGCCGTTCTCAAATTCCTCTTTTGGCACTTTCGGATTTCAATACTTGGCGCCATCCGGCATTCTGGTGCCCAGACTCAGACCTTCGATTTTCGGTTCAGCCCTGAGGCAATTTGCACTTCTGCCCTCGGGACTGAACCGGTACTTAAGACCGGACTCAAGCCCAGTACGGGCAACCAGTTTTCAGCCTCATTGCTTGTGTTCAGTGTGACTATGCTTTGACATTGTGTTCAGGAATCCAAGACTGCGACTTTGTGACTTTGCCACTTTGTGCCTGCGCCCGTTGAGTCGTGTCGAGTCTGCGTCGAGTTGAGTGAGTGTGTGTGTGTGCTCTCACTCTCCCAGCCTAGCTGCCCTGTCTCCGCCTTGTTACAGGTCTGTTGACTCTGTTCTACCTTCTTACAAGAATACTCTGTTTTGAAGCTTCTGCGTTCTCTTTTTTCGCGAACTACGCTGGATTACCTCATGTCTTATGCAATAAGAAAACCCAGTGCAGACAAATGGAGCACAAAGATTACAAATATGTGGAACGGGTAGGGTTCAATCATCAGATGATAAGACCCATGACCGTACACAGATCTGGCCTGTCCAGATGTGCCAGGACCTGATGCATCTTCTCAGATGAGCATTCAATATACGCTGAGTAGTCTTCAGACCTTCCACATTGTTTTAAAGAGGACTTGACCCATCAACAAAATATTCCAGACTCAAAAGAGGACCCCCCGTCAAAAGATCGAGGTCTACAGACATGTCCTCCTGATTGTCCAACTTTCTCTGGCCAGTTTTGACTGTTTGTCAGTGGTCTGCACAGCTGATGGTTGACGTTCCTCTAGCGGTGATTGGGGGTATCCATCACATACCTGGTGGAACTTATCCTTTGCTGACGATAATATGCGTCGCGCTGATTCCAGATCCCCAGCATAGAAGGCAACTACCCCTTCCAAAAGCTCCAGGCGCACATAGCTGTTTATGTAGGACATGGCAGTCAGGAGAAGTCATTTGGTCGTTACAAAGAGGGTGGATCAGAGAAATAAAACACCGATTAGGTTTAATACTTGATAAACAGGAATTACATGCAGCCTTTGGCCTACTGATAAGTCGGTAAAAATCCAGGCCAAAACTCTGTAACAGTCACCTACGTTTCTTGTTTTCTTCCTTTTTGCCCATGATTAACTAGGAAGCTCTCTATGACTATCTATTAATGATTCCCTATACTAAATGACCTGTGACAGCTTTGCCTTCGAAAACAGAAAAAAAGAAACAAAAAACAGAAGGATAACTTTTCTGCCTTGTTGCCCATGAATAAACAGGAAGTTCTCTATGACTAACTGTTAATGCTTCTGTATCATACATGCAAGCGCACGTCGTGCGGGCGGTTTCCTACGTGCAGCGCACGCGCCCAACCGATCCCGTGCGGTGCACCACGTGTGCGGAGAACGACCCGTCATCCCCCTCAGAAAAAAAAGGCTGGGGTCGAAACGGTGCGTTTGAGGGCCCCTGCCAAAATTATAAGCGAGATGAAAAAAAAAATTACAGGAGTACTGCCTCACCT